GCTTGCGCCACTTCTTGCAGAACTTCAATGCATTTATAAAAGTCACTGGGGATTTGTGCTTCTCATCCAATAGGACAGGAAGTTCGTTCCCCTGAGCATCTTTGACCATGAAGAGTGATTCCTTCCACTTGGTCCATTCACATTGGGACTGCAGTCAGCCCAAGCCAAGGACAGCGTCGAAAGGGCACTTGTCAAGGACAAAGAAGTTCAATGCGTGGGTGACAGTCTTACCTCTGTCAAAGGTAGTGCGCACACCTTTGACTGCATGTGTAGAAGAGACAACTTCCTTGTTGCCAACTTGGGTCCGGCAAGGGTTCTGCAGGGTCACTTGCTTCATCCCCAAGCCCACCTTGYGTMTCCCATGTRGTRACATRAARTTAGTTGTAGCRCCACARTCAACSARCACACGGAGATAGCGRTGGTTTATGAGAAGCTTAAAGAAGATCAACTTCACTGTCCTTTGGGCACGCTGCTGTTTCATCTCAGCCCAATGCTCCAAGTGGTAGTGGAAGTCAACCATCTCAGACTCCTCCCAAGGCTCGACATACAATACATTACTTACCTCAGCGTTGTCTTCAGCAGATGGTTAGGCGCTAAGGGAGGGCTGCTGATTTTCATCAGAACCTCACTCCCCTGCTGTAGAGTTTGTTGAATCCGACTTTACGCCCGATTCTGGTTTCCCTGCAGCCTATAACAATCCTGGACCTTGTGATTTGGCTTTTGGCAATGTAGGCAAACCCCTTTCTTGAGTCTGCCCTGCCAGTCATTCTTAGTGATCCGGAGGTCAACCCAAGGTTTGGTAGTTGCATCCTCCGGTCTAGGCGGGATCTTGACTCCTTCGGAAAGTTTGACATAACTTTTCCCGACACTCTGATTCGGTCACTTAGTGTTGGCAGTCTTTTTAAAGGCAGAAAAATTTTCTTCTTCTTTATTCGCATCGGATTCATTGGCTGAAGAACAAGCTGTATCGGAGTCTTGTCCTTGGTCGTCACCAAGAGTGGGGTCATCCGTATCGGCCTCTTCTTCGGTCTCCAGCAGGTCATGCAGAGCAAAACGGTTGTTGCCCTTGAACCGTTTGCCGCCCATGGGTTTTTTGCTGTCTGCCGTGCTAACGAGGTCTATAGCCTCCAAACTGACTATGTCCTTCATTAAGGTGAGTCAGTCAGTGTATGCAATGTAGTACCTGCCCAGGCGACTAGTGAAGTTAGTTGGAACCGCGCCCTTAACCACATCTAGGAAAGATTGAGCAGACAAATCCAAACCAGGAGTCGCAAACATTTTGCCTAGGTAGGTCTGCAGGTTTTTCATGGAGCCAGTCCATTTGTTGTGCTTGATTTTGTCAAGTTGAATTCTTGCTCTGGCAGCAACATGTGAATCTTGGTATTGTGAGATAAGGAGTTCCTCAAGGGAGGCAACCGGGGTGTTCCTCAGCCATTTGGCTAATGCAGCCTTTGGGAACCCAGCCTGCGTCGCTTGGACTTGCAGGAAGCCCCGTACGCCCGGCTCGACATTCATTTTCATGATCACCGTATGGGTCTCAGTTTGAGTCCCCAGAATCTCAAAGTAGGCCCTCATGGAGCCGATCCAGGACTCGATGTCTTTCTTGCCGTCATACTTGGACGGTATTTGAACCGCCTTTCGGTCCACATAGGGACCAGCGTGGCAGCCGTGGCTGGGACCAGCAGCAGCTGGTTCCGGTCTTGGGGCTGCAGCAGTTGCAGAAGTTCCAGCCTCATTGCTTGTTACAACAACAGTGGAATCTGCGCCTGCTGCAGGTCCCGAGGGGGTTGCCATCACACTCGACGAAGAAGTAGAAAAAGATACAGTGAGAGGGGCAAGATTAGTTGTAATTGCAGCACCAGAATCAGAGGGTAAGGGAAGAGGGTTGGTTACTTGGGCCTGCCGTAGTTCAACAATCTCAACCGTCAAGTCGTGGTACTTGTTGGTCATATCAGCCAGATCCTCTTGAAGCTTCTTCAATTTATCGAAGACTTCGACGATCTGGCTGGTGTGATCCTCAAGACTCCGGACTTGGACAATAGCGGTAAGTATGACCTGCAGTTGTTCCCCACATTGTTCTTTAGTCAGTGAGGGAACAGTTTGCAAGATGGCCTCTTCAGCCTCCAACAACGCCTCCTTCCTCTCCCTCTCTGACTCTTGTTCTCTTTTGACTGCATTGTCTAAGAGTGCCTGTAGATATGGTTTCTCAGCGTCACTGGCTGCATCTAACAAGTCCCGCCATTGCAATGAAGTTAGCTGGCCCATTTTCGGACTATCAGTATGGACAGGTGGGTCAGAGAGTCGCCAATCAGCAAAATAATCAATCAGACTCTCAAGAGGTTCACTCCCCCTCCCGCTTGGACGAACACTCCTTTTCCCAGTCCATACTCACTTCAGACAATCATTTTCCCTCTCTCTCTGTTCTCTCTCCCTCCTCTCTCTCTCTTCTTTCAGATTGCAAGTCTCCACAGGCATCGGAAATGAACTCAGAGAACAGACAAGAAAGCTCAGAGAGGAGAAGGTAGAACTCCTAGCCGAAACGACATTTCATTTGAAAGTAGAAAACAACAAAAGAAACAGTCAAACTCAAATAGAGGTCTAATCCAGCGACCCAGTCTGATCAGACTGCATACGAGGTCCTCTCGAGTCCAGTCTGACCATCTCCGTGACCGTAAAACAAATCAGACAACGAGTAACTAAATGCAACAATGGAGAATTGAGTGGTGTACAGGGTGCGAGTCAAGTCACGGATAGTGCAATCAGAATACATGCGAAACGTCTCAGCCAAGATCCCCTCGGCAGTGGGTGTCCTAATCCAAGAAGAATGAACTCGTATCCCAGCCAAGAAGACAAGAGGTCAATGCCTAGCCGATTTGGGTCCAGAGGCTCGTCTTGTTCGGGCCCGGTCCCGCAGGGTCCCAAGGGTCCAACGTAGGTCTCAACCAGGTCCCAACCAATAGGAGTCCCATCTGAACTTAGTTCAGTCTCTACTGCACTGAAAAACGGAATTTCGACTTCTGGCAGAACCTACAGACTACAACCGTTCAGCGATGAAAAGACAAAGCACTATAGAAAGACTCGGCATGTATGTCAAGATACTTCATTTTCCATCCATCAGGTGAGTAGGTAGATCACATGCATTCAGTCACACAATCAAGACCACAAAGGAGTAGGAAAAGAAACCTAGAGTACCCCAGCAGGTCAATCAATACCATACACACATACATGGGCATCCCGTAGGTGCACGGCACTTACCTGAGTGTCCTTGAGCTTCGAGATGAAGAGAACTCACCGCCCTTCTCATGTGGTCCTCCTGACCCATCTAACGCTACCCCTGCACTAGTGTCCTATCTCCTAGGAGGGTCTGACTCCAACACCCAAGTGCAACGCCGGATCCCCCGTCGATGCTGAAGAACAAACTAACAACTTGCAGTCTGTTGATGCAGAATGGTCGCTGACCCTCAAGCTCGCCTACTTGAGGGCAGCCCTTAAGTTGCCAAGTGTCTCCCTTGAATCAGATTCCAGGTGCGAGTGCCTCTCACTGTCGCCTCTCTCAAATCGCCGTATGAAGTCTCCTCGAAATGTCTCGCCACCCTAATCTCACTCTCAAGCAACCTGGTTAGGTTCTATGTTGACCCCACATGACCTAACCAGGTGGGGGCAGCTTCCCTTAGCCACGCTGCCCCACTCCCCTCAACCAACCAACCCTAACCCTAAGTGTTGCCCTCAACCACTTAGGTTAGGGTCAGGGCAGCAAAGTCAACTCTCACCAGCAAGTAGAATCCGCTCCGATACCAATGTTATGACCCTGGCCAATTGTGAGATACACATCCACTGGAAAGTACAATGCCATCCAATTGCAGAAAGAAATGAATGTACTTGAGAGGAGAGAGAGGAGTAGAAGAAGAAGAAGAAATAAGAAAGAAGAAGAAGAAGATGTTCACCAGCAAAGATAATGACAAGGCTCTTCTTCTTCGCCCAACAATCTCCTCCTCCTTATCTCCCCCTTCTCCTATTCATACAAGAAATAATAATACAATGTTGAATGACAGGTCCAGAATCATGTCCGAGTCCCTTTTCTACTGCAGGTATCACTCAAGGTCCACCATAGCCATGGACGCCTCTCCCACTCTTCGCTCCCATTGGCCAAGGCTATGGCGGACTACTAGGCCTTGCTCCGATGTCCAAAAGACAACCCAAAGCAGCTATGGCTGCTCCAGCTCAGGCCGCCATGCCCAGCCCTGCCTTGAAGCTTCTTGGTGTAGCTCTCCCTGGCTGGGGACTCCTTGCTGCAGCGCCCACCAAGGTGATGAAGATGGCTGCCACCATAGCCAGGTAAGTACCCCTGGCGCTCCTCCCCCTTCCTTCCTTCTTCCTCCTTCTTCCTCCCTCTTGTCCTTCTTCTTCCCCCCCAGCAGCGCTGCTCCAGCTTAGCGCTGCTCCATCCAGCGTTCCTCCAGTGTGTCGCCAAACTTGCACACCGAAAATGAGGCCGGGTCTTCCACCCGGCCTGAAGATATAGCGGCCTGCTTTGCCTCTTGGGCGGTGACTTCCAGGCCGCTGGCCTTCCCAAGCAACCGGTACCTCCTCCTCTTTTGGAGGGAAACATCATTGCAGACTCTGATATTCCCCCTACAGGCCCTAGACTCAGACTGGTACCCGCTAGACCTAGCCTACACTACCGGCCTCTAACAATGCCACTTTTGTCTTCTTCGGCTCGGCCTCCGGTACCTGCATATTTACCCCCCTGCCGGGTACGGTACCGGCCTACCCGCTACTTGAGTTCTTTTTCCCTGCTGCAACCCTTCGAAGCCACGGCCACAGGTAAGTACCGGCCCTGAGGGCCCAACAAACGAACAAGTGCCCTGGCGGGCCACACACACACACTCATACCAACCAGCACTCAGACAGGCACAGTTACACACACACAAGCCAACCAGCACTCAGACAGACATGCAGTCCAGCAAGCACACACACACACAGACTCAGCAGGCGGGGAACTCAGTAGGGCATTCAGTCTATGAGCAAAACTCAGAAATCAGCTGTGTGTTTCAGTCCGTGTTTGGACGGGTTATCACAATTACTTCTTTTCAATCACCCACACTCTATCCTACTGTCACCGGCCAAGCACCGACGCAGCTTTGGAAAAACTAAACAAAAAGACAGTCCATGACACTCACGATGGTTCCTCCCTCCTTATATTCGTAAGTCATGGTGAGGGCCTGCTCTTCCGAAAACGTTTCATCCCTCCCTGCGGTGTCAAGCCCTTACTGCTGTCCTTTCCTCTTATCAAGTAACAACACCCTTCGCCGGTCGTTGTAAATCCATACGTCTGCTTTCGTATTCCTCCGGTTCCCTGCATCACGTCGTCTTCTGTCCTAGTCTATGAACCTCCTCCTGCCACTAATCCCCTTACTCTCCCTTCCGCTCGAGATATATCGCCTGAGTTTTTCCACAATCAATCCAGGCAACTCCCAGTCTTCCTGCCATCATCGTTCATGCCCTTCTACATGACTGACCTCCTGCCCATCTGTCACTTTCCTCGCTGCCTCTTGCCACAAAGCGAAGTGGTCAGTAGCCGTGCTACTCAGGCCCTGCCTGTTTGGGCATATGCCTGACCAGGCCCTCAGCCTGGCCCCACTGTATAGGACCGGGCTGCAGGCCCGCCCTGCCTGCTAGGGTCTAGCTCCAGCTCACGATATAGTTGTCTCTTCGTGATTCATTCAGTCATTCATCAGATGAGTTGCGGCCTGGTTGTCTCGGTCTTGTGCTGCTTGGTTGTCTCAGCGTTGATGTCGGAGTGTCGTACATGGTTGTCAATCTCACCGTGCTCACCCTCACCATCCTCAGCTAGAATGGGCCTGCTTCCGCGGACTCGCTACAGATACACCATCAATCCAACCTTCCGACAATTTGTCCCTTCTTGGCACGATCCATCGACCCGATCCTGTCCTCCAACCTGTTAATTATCGATAACCAGCTCCTACGCCATTATTCTAGTAGAAGCCTCATAAGTCATACACATAAAGCAGGCTCGTCTTCGACAGCTGTCGCTTGCGATGATTCTCCTACCCGCCAGTAACCTAGGGGACCACCATGGTCCGTTCGGACATCGCTTCTTTCATGATGACATATTCGTATGCGATTACCTGTGCGCTTCATTGAGCAGATTGCCTATCTTCTCCACCAATCCGCACATCGCTGGCCTCGCTTGATCGTCCTCCCGAAGACACTCGCTCGCCAAATGAAGTGCCCCGGCAACCATACGGCTGAACCTGAATCCCGCCGCCTGATCACGCAAACAGGGGTCCAGAATCTGGTACGGAATCTCGACACCGACGGATACTCTTTTCAGTAACGGCTTCGCCCAGTCCGCTAGGGCTTCCCATCCAACCCCAGACGGTGCCTTTGCCACGGCCCTCCGCCCCGTCAGCAGCTCCAGAAGGATAACGCCGAATGCGTACACGTCATTCTTCTCCGAGAGAATTCCTCCCATCATGTACTCCGGGGCCATGTAACCGAACGTCCCCGCCATCTGCAAGCTCTTCACCACCGTCTCACGCTGCGTGCCGAACACTCTCTCTCCCATAGTCGCAAGGCCGAAATCCGCGACCACGACGTGCAATTTCTCCCCCGAGCCATCGCCAAGGAGCACGTTGCTGCTCTTAATGTCGCGATGGATTACGGGCGGATCGGCGCCCTCGTGGAGGTAGGCTAGGCCCTTAGCGATCTGCAAGGCGATGCACATCCGCTCCACGAGCGTCAGAGGCGGGATGGAAGGTTTCCCCGGAACGGCTTTCTCTCTCTCGTGCAAACGAGCGAACAAGCTGCCCCCAGGAAAGTAGGGATACACCAACATCGAGCGATTACCCTCGTGACAGTATCCAACGAGTCGAATGAGGTTGGCGTGATGGACTCTACTCAGCGTGTTAACTTCCGCCACGAACATGCTTCTTTTCTCCGCTGTCAGATTGCCTGTCATGACCTTGATCGCCAACTCGTTGTCGCCATCCTTCGAACCCCAGTAGACATTACCAAACGCACCCCCCTGCCCGATGCGGTAGCACTCGCTAAAGTTCCGAGTGCAAAACGACAGAGCTTCAAGCGAGAACTGCTTCACCTGCGAGGGATGAAGCCCTTCGCCCCCCCCCACAAACCCGCCCCCCCCCGCGAACCCGGCCAGCCCCGACAGTGAGACAGTGGTTGCCACCGTATTCGCACTGCCATTGGTCCTCGAAATGATCTTCGGCTGTTCCTCTTCGCGGTCACGCCGAGACTTTCTGAATATGAGGAAGCTTGTGCAAGCGGCCAGGCCAAGGAATGCGAGAAGAGACAGCGGGATAACCACGGTTAAAGCTAGATTGCGAGGTCCCCTCGGGGTTGTTTTCGGCCCAGAGGGCTCGCCGGATGGCGAGGCCGAAGTTGGAGGGGAAGAGGCAGAAGCGGGGCCGTTCGCGTTAGAAGAAGACGGGGAGTCGCCGCCTGACGATGGCGGTTGAGGCGCGCAAGAGTGCAGGTGAGAGACGTTTATTTTCAGCTCAGTCACCGAGCCATCGTTCGCCCCGACGTATAGGCAGTAGTCGTCGCCGGACTGACGGAGTCTCAGCGTTTGTAACTCGCTGTAACTTGCTACCGTCGTCACACGGCGAGCCAGGGAGCACGGCGAGTCCAGCTGAAGCCAGCGAAGCACACCGTAGTAGTAGTCGATGACGAAGACGTTGCATCCGTCGGGAGTCGCGGCGATGTCTGTCAAGTTGTTGAAGGATGAGTTCAATCCGTCCTTATCAACAAGTCCTCTCAACCCGGATCCAGCGACGAGCACCGGATTAGTGGTGTTAGAAGCAAGGGGGTCGATTCCCCACACGCGAACGTTCTCAATGTCCAGGAAATAGAGGCAGCGCTCGTCTGATACAAAGCTCTGTGAGCTGAACGCTATACTCTTGATATCCTGATCGTCGCCGGGAGAGAATGTTTTGACTTCTTGCCATTGTGCGCCATCGATGGGCATCCCTGACTCCTGCACGGGAGTGGATAGAATCCGAGAGGGGCCAACGCCTTGAGTTATGTACAGCTTCGTCTTGTTCGGATTGAACGTCAAACTGACAGCAGTACTCACCGTTAGCGATTTAGAACTTCTATTGCCATTTGTTGTCGACAAAGTGGAGATCGTGGAGTAAGTGAACTCGGGGTTCACAGATGGGTTTGACAAGACGATAAGGCTCTCCTCCGTTCGCGTGAGAACCATGGCATAAACGGCGGCCATCAACAAGGTGTCGTTTGCGCCAGCGTACTGGATGAATGGTGTCTTCTCAGCTGATCCGCTTCCCTCGACGTACGGCCACCAGTAGCTGAGTAGCTCCTCGTGACCGAGGCCACTAGCATCGTGATCCGCTTGAGCGAGATCTGCTTTCCAGAGCGAGTAGCGGTGATGAGTGACATCGCCCTGCGTGAAGCAGTGCTCTACCAGCATGATGTAAAATGCCGTACTTTGGGCGGGGAAGACTAAGTCAGTGGCAGAAAGGCGGCAGGAGAGTTTTTTAGTATCTGGGAGCAGGAACGGAGGAGTGGCCGTGTGCAACCACACGAATCTGCTTGAGAGAAGCAGAGCGGTATTCGAACGAACGAACCCCGACTGCGGCTCCGGGTCTGGCGTGGACAAAACTGGCGACGCCAAAGATGACGGTGGAGCATCTGACGGAGCCTCAGACAAAGGCAGAGCACCTGACGGAACCGCAGACGAGGGCGGAGCAGTTGACGAAGCCGTAGACAAGGGAAGAGCCGAAGAAGCCGTAAACGCGAGCGGCTTAGCCAGAGCTGCAGCCGCAAGCGGACCTACTAACGAAGCGGAAGACGAGGGCGTAGCCGACGAAGCCGCAGACGGTAATGGAGCGGACAAAGTAGGAGCGGACGAAGAAGTTGAAGATAGAAGAGCCGACGAAACAGCAGACGAGGGCAAAGCAGTGGACGGCACAGCGGAGAACTGAGCAGTTGATAAAGGCGCAGACGAAGCAGCTGATAAAGACGCAGACGAAGCAGCTGGCGAAGCCGCACTCGAGGGAGGAGGGGACGAAGCCGCGGAAGTGGACAGGGCAGCCCGCGAAGTCGCGGACCGCTCCGCCAAAACATGCCTTCCGGGTGAGAGGAGCCAGCGTCCCGGCAGATCAACAGGAGTTACGGCGGGCATCACGCCATAGACGAGTACGTCTTCCTTCGCTACAGCGTGAGAACTACCACTCCTCCAGAACATCACGAGTAGGAACAGGTATGCTATGGATCGAGTGCACTGTAAGCTGAAGTACCGGAGACATGAAGAAACGCAGGGAACATCACGGATCTGCGTGGAAACGTCCATCGAGTCTATACAGATACAACACACCCAATCTATGGGAAATAATAGGCACGAGTCAAAACAACCGGAAAAACAAAATCTATGGGAAATAATAGGCACGAGTCAAAACAACCGGAAAAACAAAGCACAAAAAAGTAGCGCACTAATTAACCGGCCAAAGGCATCACTGTCAGCATAACGCTTTGCCCCCTTTTCGCAAATGGGATTAGGTCAGTCGTTGACACGACCACGGACAAGAAATCTACATGGAGTAGAAGAAGCCATAACCTTGCGCAGAAGTAGGTTTTCGAGGGGCGGCTGTCTGGTACATTTTGAAACGACGTTCCGAGATGGTCCGTCCACTCACTTCTAGGCGGTGACGCTGCCGCGCTGCGGCGCAGCGGCGCAGCGGATACTCACGATGGTCGCACAGCGCAGCTAACGGGAAAGGGTGGATAACGGCCGCAGCAAACCTTCACCCCAGAAAACTTTCGGGCTCGTGCTCCACAAACCGCGGGCGCCAACGGGCTACTCACACTAGGACTTGTGACCGCGGGCACCAATGAAGCCTCAAACACTCACCAAACTGAGGGCATACTCACACGGGGACCAAAAGTCTCAAAATTTTGAGGCATTTGGTTAGGCTTTTTTTAGGCATTTGGTCCCCGCGTGGTCACACGGGCGGACCTCGTCCAGAAACGACGAAGTCGCGACCCTGACAACTTGCACTCAGGGCAAGTGCGCCCGGGGCCAAGTCCCACTAGAGGGTGTTTTGTACTGGTTTCGTAACATGTGCGGCGGGGTGTGGCGAGGTGCGGCAGGTTGCGACACGGTTTTCAACGATTTATCGTCCGTGTATAAAAAACAATTTATAGAGCCGCTGAATCATGAGGAAAGACAGATTCTGACACGCACGGTGACAGGTCGGTGGGCTTGACGGCCCTGCGGGAAGTTCTTTCGGCCTGCCTCGGTACTTGGCTTTTTCGTCAATGTCCCCATACCTAGGGTTGGTGAGAGGTACAGTTGAGGCCTTCACTGGCATCGTGTAAGTGAATAATTTGCAAGGATAAGGGCCTCCCCGCACCACTCTTGAAACCCGGTTTTCAAGAGTTGGAGCCGTCGCCACACAGCCACTTGAGAGTTGTGGCCCGGAAACTCTTCCGAGAGTTGTCAGAACCTCATTTCGAGAGTAGCTCTCTAAACTCCTAAACGCCCAGCCTGCAGCACCCCTCTTTTCAAGCGTCCTCCCGAGGGCACTCGAAGGACTCTCGATTTTCGAGGGCATGTTGGGCCGTTATCCTGACTCCATTCGGAAAAAACAAAGCTGAACGACTGTCGTTTTCCATCGTTTGCCCAACACCATCACGCTTTCGAGAGTGCTGTGTGGCAAGGGGCCCGGAACTCTTGAAAACCCAACTCTCGAGAAGGTCTGACAACTCTTGAAAAATTTCCCCGTTTCAAGAGTGGTGTGGCGAGGCCCTAAGGAAAGATGCAGACCATATCCTCATGTTAATAACCTGTAAGAACAAGGAAAGATGCAGACCATGGGCGTCGCCACACTACTCTCGAAATGTGTAAAATGAGAATGAACTTCCGCTGCCGGGCCCCATAGCTGTGTGAGAGCTATGGCGGACAGTGCTCAAGGGTAACCTGGCTCTTGAGTGGGCTGGGGAGCGCCTCTGTGCTCTTACGTTTGGGCATCCCGGCAGCCCCGTACCCACCCGCTCCAACTATTCTTTTTTTTCTTTTTTTTTTTTTTCTTTTTTTTTTTTTTTTTTTTTTTTTT